TTTTCCTTTGTGTTTTCCATAGAACGAGCCCTTCCTTTCTGGAACGTGTTTGGTGTAAAAATGTTGAAAGTAAACCAAGACTAGCACAGGCCCTGATCCAAAGCCCATTGAAGTCAGTGGAAAGTCTCCTGCGGTCTCCAAACAGACCTGGATCAAGCCCCAGATCCAGAGCTGAAGAGCTTGTTGTTGCAGAGCTGCTTGGGGGCCACTGTTGTGCCAGAATCTGTGCAGAAGGAGCATCAGAGCCCTTGTGGTTTCTATAGTAGGGGAACCTCAAGCTCCCAGCCAGGATCAGGGCAACTGCCTAGTGCCACAGCCCCTGCCCCTTACAGTGCAACAAAGCAAACACACGCATAAAGGGCACGAAGGAAGGACTGGTGCATCAGCATGAGACGGTGGCAGGCATGCAGCAGGTCAGCCCCGTGACACTAATATTTGCCTGTATCGTGCATTATACACAATTGGTTTCAGCGAGTGCTGCATCTGGGGCTGAGGGAAAGAGGAGAAAGAGCAAAGGAAGAGAGATACTGCCCAAACAGGAAGACACAGGGCAGCTGGGCAGGTCTGTAGTCTCGGGGTCCAGATGTTTTCTTAAATAAGCCCAATGCTTAGATATGGACTTGGCAACTGAGCCTTCAGTACCTGGCTGGAAAACACAAGCTATGCTTCACAGAGCCGTCTCCCTTTGCTGACTCAAGACCTCTTTCCCCTAGATTAAAAAAATTAAATGAAGGCTTGGCTGCCACATCCTCATCTCTCAGTTTTGCTGGATTTAGCATTACATTCCTAGTCATGGAACCGTGCTTGGGATCCAGGAATGTGAGAGTCAGCAGATTTCCTCCACCCTCCACTTCCCCAGCAAGAGAAAAACTCAGTTAAATGATGAAAGACGACCGATTAACCTCACCCAACAAATGCAACTGCTTTTCCTGCTTTTAAGCTCTGCAGTTCATGCACTTGAGGGCAGAGAGCAGCGAGGTAGCACCATGCAGCTCCACCCAGAAATTTAGCTGGGGCCACTAGACGAAGCCACTAGAAGTAAGAGTGACACCCAGTCACGGTGGACAACTTCCTTATATAGTCATGGCTTGATTGTGGTCAGTACCTGTCAGTAGCAGGGAACCACAGAGCGCACAGCAGTGTGTTGGGGGGGCAGGGGAAGGTTGCTTGGCTGACATGCCTTGTGGCTGTCCCTGACTTTTATAGCTGGGAACTCCATTATTGTAAGCCTCAAGGGTCAGAAGTCGGACCCCCACTAAAAGCCTGTGGGAACATCTTAAAAATCAAGAGCATGTTATTTTTTTTTTAATTAATCAGTTTGGAGTTTTTTTCATTTGCCTTTAGGTTCTGAGCCATTGCGATATAGCTGGGGACAGGTTTGCAAGCTCTTCTCCACAACCATGAGGGCTAGGAATTTGTTTTAAAAAAGCCATCCACATTTCTCCCTGAGCCCTTTGAATCTTGGAGCTTTAACAGTACCTGCTATCCCTCATCTTGTTAAACAGAAGCACAAAAGAATTGGCAACACTGGGATATTCAGAAGCACTGGGACATTATCCCCAGTATCGCCTTTACAGCACAGTGGTGAGCACACACTCCTGTCAGCCAAGGGTGCACTCATGCTTTTTTCTGATTTAATTTCTTGTGTTGGGGCTCCAGAGGAGGTGGAGGGAGATGCTTGTTCCCTTGTAGCAAGCAGTGTTCACATAAGGGCCTTGTTACATGTTAATTTGGGGCAGTTCCTGGAGCTCTTAACCCCTGGATTGTCAACACCTTAACAACTTTAAGTGGCTTAAAGCACTCATTGTGCAGCTCAAAGTTACGCCACTACAGGGCAGGACTATCTCTGATCCACACAACCCAACTCCTGTTCCATTAATCTGTGGCCACTCCCCACATACGTGCCACTCAAGTTGAAGTCCTCCAGGATCCCAGGATGCAGTGGCCGCTCCCCTGCCATCCTGTTCTGTGGACTCTCACACCACCAGCCGCTTAGTGGAGTGGCCCAGGGACTGGACCTGCAGCTTTTCTATCCCCCAGCCTCCAGCCTCCCCACTCCAGGAACAGCGGGCTGGGGCACCTTTCCCCACCAGCACTGAGCTTGCCTGGGATGGTGGTCACTGCTGGACCTCAGGTCCCCCACCCACCCAACCTCTGGGGAGCAAAGGAGAGCATGGCCAGCCTCAGAGAGCCTCCAGACCTGTCCAGGCTCCAGCAAGCCCTGAGCTCCAGCCCTGCAGCTCCAGCAGTGCTCTGTCCCACACACCCAATCTATATGCAGTGCAATAAGAGCTGGTTGCAGCTTCTGCATGGTTGGGGGCAGCCTGCTGCTAGGGAAGTCACTGCTCCAGAGCAGGGTGGCTGCGGATGGATCTGGGCTATGGGCATGTGACTCTGCTGCTGCTCACGTGGACTCAAGAGCTGGCTGCAGATGGACTCTGCTCCCAGCTGCAGAGTGAAGCCAACTTGGTGGGGAGCTGAATGCACCAGGTGTCACAGCCCCCAGCCCTGGGCCTGTGCCCACTGCCGCTGCCTCTACTGTTGCTGCCGGCTTCCCAGAACCACTGCCTGGGACTCCCCTAGCCTCAGAGCCTGGGGGTGTCTATCCATTTGCCCCATGTGCTACTTGGCTGTCCCCGCTGGGCCCAGGGACACCAAGGAGGGGTAGAGGGCAGGGTGGATGTGAGGCAGAGCTGTGGGGAGGGGTGGGTAGGGATAGGCAGGGAAGCACCTGAACCCCCCTCAGGCTGAAGTTGCCTGGGTGCTGGGAATAGTCTGAAGGATGCTTTTGGGCAGGAGATGTGCCTGGCCATGTGTGACAGAGAGCCCAGAGCATGTGGGTGCTGGGAGTTGGGCGGGCAGCAACCTGCCCATGCAGCCCCCTGCCAAGTCCATCAGCTTTGTTCTCAAGTGACCACACTGCCTCCCTCCCCTCCCCACAGTCTAGAACGCTGCTGCTGTGGGCCAGCGAGGGACATAGAGAAGTAGGGCTGGAAAGGACCTCCCTGCTCACCACTCCTCCAGTGTCAAATCACAGCTGTACAGGTGGAGGACAATCAGAGAAGGTTTCTAGGCTGCTAGGTGTGACTGCTCCAAACTCCAAGCTAGCACTAACACCGCCGATCAACATTTGTTTGGCTCAAAGTACATGTAACAAGGCCCTAAATAAAATACCAGCTTCCACTGCAAATGCTCGAGCCTGCATTCTGTATCCCTCTCAGCAAGGGAAGCTCAGCTCAAACACAAAACAGGCACATGAGTGCTGCCTAAGTGAATTCATACTGAAATTCATACCAATAACTCATACTGATATTCAGCCTGAGTAATTAGAGCCCAGTCATCTTTCCAGCCCAGATGTTCTGCACATCACAGGGATGTCTCCCTCCATTGTGGGCACCTCTAGTATTCCCAGGTTTCCAGTGCTATCCTTGCAGTCCACTTCATCTATTTTATAAGTAGCTCTGATTTCCTTGAGCAGTGGTAACCTACACAAGGGCTCGGCAGCTCTTTTGGTTCAGCTCAAAGCAGTCTCTGGCAAACAGACCTCCTTTCTTGTCCAGTGCTGAACATGCTGTGGCGGGAATCTGTGTTCAGCTTCATCGCATGCTTCAGGTCTCAAGTCCAGACATGGATTAGTGGAGGCAAAGGCAAACTTCTGGAATAATGCAAGGAAGGAATCCTAGAAAACCCTGGGCTCTGTGTCTCCTCCTGAGCATCCCCATAGCACCCACAGCTCAAGACAAAGTGCAACAGAGGTCAGGGAAAATAGCAATCTGTTCCACCTTGCATGCAAAAGCCTCTTCTGTATAACCTTTCTGAGCAGCTCCATTGAGAGTTAGTTGCATGTCAGGCCTGCTTTAGCTCCAGACCCTCCTGCCAGCAACATTTCCAGCTTCTTATGTCTTTTGCCCGTTTTATCTGTAGTGCAACAAGGCATTCCAAAATGCCTAACAAGTACTGTCAAGGCTTTTGCACCCTTTGACTGCCTGGAAAGAGAGTAGACAGGAAGCCTTGTTGATTTTTTCCTCAGCATCAGACAGTGTTTACTACCACAGAAAGAGGAATTGGTTCAAGAAAGGATACTTTCACAAGGGACCAAGGCTCTCTTGAAGAAATCTAGTATGAACTATAGCTGCATTTCTGTCACTATACTGAGACTCACCACCCTATCCAGAATAAAAGGATTGATCACCTCTGGCCAGCCAGAAGGCTCCAGACACCAATGCATTTGGCCACTGTTGTCCCCCTGCTTTACCTGTGGCAAGTTATGGTGTTATGCCTTGCAGCTGAGTCAGTTTTACTGAGAGGTTAGATAATGGATCTGTGTAGGATGCGTTGGATAGGAGCGATCCTGTCTCGGGGTGGGGGTTGGGGCTGGACTAGATGACCTCTGGAGGTGACTTCCAGCCCTGCTTTTCTACAATTCTGTGATTCTTAATGAACCTTCTAGTGCAACAGATCTCTGGAGTAAGTGAGGCTCTTGTCTGGTGGAACAGTTCAGGCTGCTAAGAAAATCAGCGGAGGCTGGAGGGGAGGAGGTTCCCCTGCAGTGAGGCAATATTGGCTACAGCTGGGAGAAGGGAATCCAGGAGGAGCTCCCCTGTGATGAGCTATGTCTGGCTCCTAATGTCTGGAGAATGGGCTGGAATGAGGGAGACTCCCACAGAATAAAGATGCTGCAGTTGCCAGTGGTTAGCCTGGAATGAGAGCAACTCCTTGCATGATGAGGCAATGCAGGCTGGGAACAGAGACAGAGGGAAGATGCCTTGTGGAATGTGTGAGATCCCTCCAAGATGATGGGGCACTTCCCTGCCAATGGCATGCAATATAAAGGCGGTGTGCAGGAGTTCCTTTTAAATCATTAGTGCAGCACACGCTGCCAAGCTGCCTGGAGCTGGGCTCCTGTTACACAGGCCCCACCCTCAAGCGATTGCTGAAACATGTCTTCCCTTGTCCTGCTCCTCCCTCCACCCTGAGCATGCATCTGCTTGGCACAGTACCTGCTGTGAAGATCTGAGCACCCACCGCCAGGAAAGCGTCAGTCACCACAGTCTCTGAATGCAGCGAGATGTTCAGCTGACGGGCGATATTGCGGTAAAGGTTTGGTCGGATGTGTTCCAGCTCATCCCCTAGAAAGGGATCAGGAGTCAAGACAGAGGAAGCACTGTCTTTCTTGTCCCCTCAAGGGCCATCAAAAGAGCCCTTTGAAAAGGGACTATAAGTTCTAGTCTATACCCCAACCTTGTTCTGGCAGCAGACAGCAGCTGTCACCCCTAGCCCCCTCCCCCCTCCCCTCAAAGCACATGTGTATTCTCACAGTTCTGCAGCTGGAGAACAAAGTGCACCCTGGGAAGATGCTACCTGCAGAAGGGACCACAGCAGTCAGCAGAAGGTGAAGAAGCATTGATACATGCTTTGTGCCAGCTGCTGGCTGGTGACAGAAGCCATACCCCACTCAGCAAGGAGGGGGTTAACTGCTGGCAGAAGGGAGGGCTTTGCAGCCACAGAGGTGCTTTGGTAGTGCACATACTCAAGAGTTTTGCTGTCGGAACTGGAGTTGTGCCAGCAAACCCTTGCAGCACCAATGAAGCTGAAGGCTTGGCTAACCCAGCCACAGTCCTCAGGGGACAGCTATTTTTGTCTCTCATTCTACAAGCCAGAGAAGAATGGAAGCACCAGGAGAGAAGCAAGCCCTGCCCTAATGCTTGAGGTCAATGGAGGGTACAGGGGAAGGCTGTATAAGTACAGACTCAAGTATCTGCCACATTTCTGGTGCCACTTGACCAGTGCAAGGGTTAGGGCAGCTCCTATGTGCAGTCAGGAA